CAAGTCCCGCGAGAGCGGCCGGAGCTGCGCGAACCGTAAGCACCGCCACGGAGATGGGTATGTGTCTCTCGCAGGTGCGCCCGGGCCGATCAGGAGACGCGTGTGTCTGATGAGATGTGTTCTCCACCTTCCAGACTCCTTGCTAATGCCGTAGAGTAGCTCTAGGACGCGCTAGTACACAGAGCCCTTGAGAAACTGGAGTCCTCATTTTTTCTTTATCCCTTGTACATTTCACATACATGAAAATTGCAAAAGGTGAAATTTATGAGGAAAATCTAATTTCCCATTCCTGTTGAATGGATTTAGTTTGATATTGACCTGATTTTACCATGTGCCTGTTGAAGGCCTTAGAGTATATACTGTATGTTAAAGACTGTAATAACTTTAAAAAAAAATAGTTGATAGCCTAATCCAAATGTAAATATAGCTACAACACATTGTTACTAGGCTACAACGCATTAGTTCATGTCATGTATCTTCATTTCTTTACCATTAGTTTTTAAGGTCTTCATATTGCTTTTTTGATATCTTTAGTAACTAATGAATTTAATTTTGAAGGAGAGTTAGAGAAAGTTTAAAATTTTTAATACATGTACTCAACCCATTTAGTTATATTCTAAACCAACACTGAAGCATGGTAAGGTATAGAATACAGTCCATAACTAGTTTGTATAGTTTACAGTTTAAGAACAAAATTAACTTTGTATGTAACTCCTACAATGATAGATTCATTGTTAACTAATTATATTAAGTTGTTGTTGCTATGGCAACAAAACTACAACATGGCTACCTTTGTATACATTATTTGTGAAATTTTCACATGTAAATTAAAAGTGATGTGTAACAGTATGAGCTTGTTAAAGGTACAGTTCGATACTGTCAGATAAAGATATGATTGAATATTTTTAAAATCCCAAAGTCCCATGTGAACGCTGAATTTGTGTCTTTACGTCACTTTTTCAGTCAAGAAGTTTACAACACATGGATTTAGAGTCAGGTTTTATAGCTTGTAGAAATTGTTGTGTGGCAAGGGTTATTCCACAGTATTTTAACTTTGAAAGCACGACAGCCTGCATTTACAACATAGTGACTGGTCTTTCTTTCATTTCATGTCCATTCGCATTGTGGGAATTCAGAATTAATCCGTTTCAGTACTGTAGCTCTGCCTGCAATTTTTTTTTTTTCCTGAAATTGAACACTCACATGATTACGTTACGATCAGGGCTAAATAATTAAACATATAACTATTTTAATACTAATTTATATTAGCAAAAACTGTACATAAGAAAAAATATTGTGGAATGACCCCTTAACAGTGTTGAAGATACAAATATGCTGCAGTTAAACTGATTCAGTTAGTGTACGAATGTGTGAGACACACCTTTTTTGCACTTATGTACATAGTCCACGAAAGAAATCCTTGGAACTTATTTTGAATATAAAAAGTCTGTAATAATACAGGAAAAGTTTGTAAAAGAGATAGGTATTACTAAGGCTTTGAAAAGGAGGAGTTTTTTGCTATAAAACTTATCTGAAAGCATGATGTTGCTTTGCTGTTGTAAAAGCTTTGTAGTTTGCCATAGCTTATTATACAGCAGACTGATAACAGGTCAGCTCCAACCTGCAGCACAGAGAAATGGGAAACAGTGCTTAATTAATTAGTAAGGTCACTAGCAAAGATTTGAATTACTTTTTTTTTTTTTTAATCAACCTACATTTCTAAACTCACCCTAGGTCATGTTTTTTGATAAGTTATGTTCTCTGTGAATCCTATTAGGACCGAGATGTCACTGGCACTATATTCACATTTTTCCTAACACCTAATCCTATTGCTAGCTGGAAGTGTTTATCTGTTATAGATGATTGTCATTGCAGCAAGGCATTTTAAATCTCCAAGGGAAACTGAGCTGTTGCCACTTGCTCTGGCTTTTTTTTTTTTTTCTTTTCTCCCACCCATTCGAGGCAGACTCACAAAATTGAAGTGACCGGTGAGCAATAGAAGGACGGGAGTTGTTTCAGACTGTCTCGGGGTAGTTATGTCCTGCTGTACGACAGCCTGGACGCCCCTTTGAAAGAGCGGGAGGTTTTGCCCACGCGGCGGTGCTGGGTTGTGCTGCCTGCTCAGGTGGAGCTGTGGGTTGGATTTGGGGGCACGGCAATGAAGGCTGATCATGGCTAAATTGGGGCTCGTGCTTGGGGTTAACAGAGGCAGGAGAGCAAGGGGCAGGCCTGCCTTTTCTTGCCTGGAGGCAACTCTGCTGCTGCTCCTCTTCCTCCTCCAAGAGTGAGCTGGTTCCCCAGCTGGCTTCAGAGGATGAGGAGGATGCTCCTAGCTTGTTTGCTGGAAGGAAAGATGGAAAAGCCCACGACATGTCCAGTACTACAGTCTCTTTCACAGCCTCCTCAAATTTCCTACAGTTCCAGCTGTGGCCTGAGCATTTCTAGCTGTTCTGGAGCAGTCGGCGTGTGGAAGCGGTGTGGGTGCACTTGAGAGAGCAGTGGCTGATCTCAGAGCAGGGGGCTGGGGTGTTAGGTCCCTGCCCTCTCTGCTCTCTGCCTGAGAGGTGTGCACAGCCGGGCTGGTGATTTCCCACCACTCCGGGCTTTCTTCCTATTGACTGTCATCAAAAGAGAGTGCAGCTGTGCAGGCCCAGCCTGCAGCACAGCTGACGGCAGCTAGAGTCCCATAAGGACAGTGCTCCTCCAGCTTCTTCTGAAGAAAGCAAGGCTACTGGCTGGCTGATGGTTGTGGCTCTGTTTTCTCTCTCACTGGAGTCAATCATGGTTTAACAGTGAGAACTGATGTTTCTGGAAGGACCCAGCTGCATGTCCCCTGTGCAGCCCAACCTCCGCTGATTCTTGGGGGCTGGTGGGCCGCACGGAGGTGGTGCAAGGGCACCCATCGCGTAGCATGAAACAACCCATGGCTGAGCGTTAGCAACGCCGAGCAAGGCCCTGCGCCCTCTCTGCACTGGCAGATGCTCTCTTGCACAGGGCTGACAGTTCTCGTTTGCTGCGAGCTCGTTGCTTTCCCAGATGATGTGTTGACCGTAACAGAGAAAAGAGAGTAGTGACGTAAAATGTCCTTCCTCTGCAGCAGGCTGCTGGTTCCCAGCAGTGCGAGGGCCTGGGGCTCTCTTGATTCTCTTTTCCCTCTCGTTGTCGGTTGTACTGCCAGGGCTGTGCATTGCTGTGTGGATTTTGGAGAAGCTGAAGGGCCTATGTTGACCCATTTATCATTGACTGGAACGAGTATTTTTTGAAACACCCAAGCCAGCAGATTTGCTTCAAGAAAGGTGGCTGGTTTTGCCACAAGGCTGGTCCCAAACCCTCCAGGCGTTGAGCTGAACCCCCCAGAGCAGTACTGGGGGGTGGTGGTGCCTGTTGGCGCTATCTCCCCTTCCTGCCCATTCCAGGGACAGGGGCTGTTGTGCCACCGCAGAGCGCGAGGTCCCCTCCTCGGCCGCTGCTGCTGGTGTCCCAGTGACCCCCGACTCTGCAGCGCCAGCGCGCGCCCCCACCCAGCAGGGACTTCCCCGCGGGGTGAGCAGTGGGGCTGCAGAATCAGCTGTAGCGTCAGGCGGTCCCCGGGAGCTCACCGGGGCTGCTTGGATCCACCTAAAGGACGATTCATCCTTTGGTCGTTAAAGCAGAGGAAAACAAATAAAATGTTGCCTCTTTCTTGGGCATTAGAATGATATTTGACATTAAGTGATTAGCTAGTTCTAGCCACCATGCTGTTAAAGCTTCCCTTTGCTGCAATCAGATTTTATAATCAAGCTCGTTCTCATCTGTAGGATTAGGAGAGAAAAATATTTTGCACTATGTGAAATGAATCGTGGCTGGTAAAACTTCTTTTCATTGGGATATGAGTACGATCATGACACTGCTGCTAAAATCTTTGCTAGTGATCTTTACTGTCATCCTCTATCATCAAAAATAACTCTATATGCCTCTCAAATGAAATATTTAAACATGCAAAAATAACACAACTATTAAATAAAATGAAGTTATTTTTCCAAACACACAACAGAGAGAATTACCTGACACCGAATTACAAGGTTCCAGTTCTTTATTACTGTACACAGATGCTATTTGATAGTGGTGGAAGCCAAATGATTTTGTTGCCATGGCTTTTGTATCCTAGCAGATGAGGGGATGATAAGACCATTCTTAGATTGGATTATGGGATTGTTTTTTTTCTTTCCAATTAGCTTTGTTTTAATTATATTTTCATTTTAAATCATGAAAATGAAACAGAACTCCCCACGCTCATCATTATTTCACCTGACAACAGATAACTATTCTTTTTTTATAAATAGAGAATTGTATTTTAGGCAATCACTAAAATGAAAAAAGAATGTTCTCCTAAATTGTCAATTATTAATTTAAATATATAAAAACATTAATACTGTACTGTGTAAAGTAGATATTGATGCACATTCTTCTTTTCATAGACATTTCTGGTAAAACAACGTAAAGGAAACATTAGATATCAATTTAATGATATAGTTTAGGATATATACAAAAGATTACAGTTAGCCCTGTGGAATTGTACAAAATTAAAATATCATCAGATCCAGACAGGTATAGGCTAATGCAATATTTCAGGTCCATAACATGATAGTTCATTCCCTCAACTGCTACCAACAGGGTGTACGCTTTGAATTTATTTTTCTTTTTGCCACGTTATATTGCTGTAGTGCTTGTACGTGCTTTAGAAATGTGCATAATGCTACTCATTTTAGTATGTTACTTCTATATTGTTATTGTTTATTTTTTGATCTTTTAATAAAGTGTATAAAATTCTTGGTTATGTTTTTTATGGATCCATATCTACACATTAATAGGAGTTTACTTTAAAAACTTTTCAAGTTCCAGTTTATTAGTCCCAATCTTTAAAGGTTCTGATGTAAAAATAATAACTAATGAATTTGATTCAATGTTATATCTAAAGTGTAGAACAACAGAATAAATTTCTT